TCAAAAGTGAAAGTAGTTGGGACACAGGTATTTTTGGCAACCCCCCCTTTTTCGAAAAGCTGTGTACACCTCATTTTTTGAGGAAGAGAGTCTTTTAAAAAAAGGTGGAGGTTTACCAAAAAAAAAAAAAAGCATCCCAACTACTTTCACTTTTGAAATATCTTCACGGAATTTGCATATCTTCTTTCAAAACTTTGGAGTAGTCTAGACATAGCCATAGTGTCCCAATGCTGAGGATGGAGGACTTCAATCCATCTCAACACTCAATTCATATATATTCATAAAAAATGAAAGCGAAAAAAAGATACCAGATCCCATTGCATTTATACTGTATTTCCTGATTATTTTCAGACGAATGAATTCTCACCACCTGCATCTCTTCCTGCCAGCTATGATGGGATTTGTGGCTGCCACCACAGCTATTGTCTATTATCATAATATTGAAACATCTAACTTTCCAAAATTACTGCTTGGTAAGTTACTTTTAGTATTTTTGCTGTTTTTCAAAAAATCACTGATTTGTTCTTAATTTCTCAAAATGAACTTTCTGGCCCTAAAAAGATTTATGAAACTCATTAAAAGCCAACAAGAAATGTTCTGCTTAATTTTTTTGTTCTCTCTGGGCTGTATTATCGCATACTTGACTAGGAGGACTGGAGTATAATGAAAAATTGCCAATTACTGTGATTTTATCATGAATATTATAATGTGGCTTTTAAACACTGCTCTTGATTTCTGGGGAAAAAAATGACCCTTATTCAAAATGTCCAGCAGCTATTATGCTAGGTGGGGGAAGGCATTGACTTTCCAAACCACCAGCCTGGTCCCACCCATCCTCTGCCCTCAGAATGCCTACTTTAGGCATCCTGGGAATGGAGTGCTGCTGCCCTGCAATGCTCGCCTACCCCATGATCCAGGAACAGGGAGGCTGGGGCTGCACACCCTTCTCATGCTCCAGGGCCAGGGAGGTTCGGGCCAAACACCGCCCGCCCTTCCTGTGCTCCAGGGCAGAGAGGCTGGGGCCACTTGACATCCACCCTCCATGCTCCCCAAGGAGGCTAAATCTGCATGCTAACCTGGGGGACTGGGGCTGCATGCCACTCCACCTCCCTGTGATCGGGTGGAGCCTGGGAAGAAGGGGTGGGGCTGGAGGTGGGGTTGGGAGATTGCCTCCTCCAGCCCTAGTTCCACCCACTTTCAATAGATCTCAGGCCAGGTCAGTTGACAACCATTACACTGCATCCTTTATAGGTGGCAGTGAGGTTGCTCAGAGTGAAGATGACTTCCATCTCCCATTGTTTGCAGCTGGACTGAAGTCAGGCCACTCTCCAGGCTGCCAGTTGTTTGCCATGTTCAGGAGCGGCCTGAGGTGGGCAACAGCAGCTGGTGCCCCAGGAAGAACGCGCGATCAGCGCCCCCGCCTACACGGTCATCAATGGGGTGACGTCATCATCGGGTGCCCTGAGCGCCCTGTGACATCATCATTGGGCGCTGTTGAAGGTGGTGCCCTAGGCGACGGCCGAGTTGGCCTATAGTCACGGGCTGCCCCTGACCATGTTTGTTCTAGTCAGCAGACTCTGAAAGAAATCTCACAGCTCTGAGTCTCAGAGCCCAGTCAACTGATGTGGTCTCGTGTTATGGGGCTAATATAGCAATGTAATGGTTCCCATTTGGGTTGGTTCTGATACACGCTGTGTGGATTAAAGATCCCAAGCTCCAGCCTAAGTGGGAATGTCTACACTGCTATTTTTAGCACCGTACCATGAACATCACACACAAACCTGCATTTGTAAATTGGGCTCTGAAACTTGCAGCCATGGTTTTTTGGTTTTGTTTTTTTCATTTTTTCATAGTGTTAAAATAAAGGAATTAGGTAGGTATTGCTGGAGACTGCCTCGGGGTTGTACATCCAACATTCCCTGTTGTTTTACAGTCTGAACTGACTACTCACACAGACTGAGGGGCAGATTATCAGTTAAACTTTACAGGCCACATTTTCACAAATGTCCTTTAAACGCACATCTGCAATTTTGTTCTCTTATGGTTCCATGCCCAAAAGGGACACTGTGTATTTGTTACGCTAGATATTTTTTATTTTACTCAAAGGAAATAACACTTAATTTTACTCAAAGAAAAATTTCCCTGACCTGAAATAGGTCTATTCAGCTGGATCTCTGTGCCTATGTGAAGCCACACAGAATTCAGGTTGGCTCTGACTGGATGCAGGGATCTGCCCAAGCAGATCCAATTGCAAAATCAGGGTCAAAGAAAGAAAAAAATGTGTCTGTGTAGGGCAAATTTCTTGCTTTGAAAGACCTTCCATCTTGAAAAGCCACACAACCCTGACCCTTACGTAGGGAGGGTAACAACCCATGAAACTGCTAGATTGGCCCATGGTAACTACAGCTGCACAGATGCAACACTCGCACAGTAATCTTAATTTGAGTGGCTTGATATAGATGTGACACTTTTGCGAGACTGGTGTGGTTAAAACATACTTTCTTAAATGGATGTGGGTATGCTTGTTTGTTTCACAGCTCTCTTTCTTTACTGGATAATGGCATTTGTCACAAAAACCATCAAGCTCATCAGATACTGCGAGGATGGAGTGCCGCTCTCTCAACTGCGCTTCTGCATCACTGGAATCATGGTCATTCTCTATGGGCTGCTGATGGCTGTGGAGATCAACGTCATTCGAGTGAGGGTATGTGTTCATTTACCAGGCTTTGACAGGACAGACATCAGGGGTATTTGGAACAAACATCCTGCTCACATGGCCCAGTTGCCAGAATTAACCTCCTCTCCAGCTGAGCCCATATTTAACTTGAAGTATATTAGTAGTTCCACCAAAGTCAGTGGGGCCACTCACATGATGACAATTAAACATGCTTGCTGGATCAGAAACAAAATACAGGACTATGTAGCACTTTAAAGACTAACAAGATGGTTTATTAGGTGATGAGCTTTCGTGGGCCAGACCCACTTCCGCAGATCAAATAGTGGAAGAAAATAGTCACAACCATATATACCAAAGGATACAATTTTAAAAAAATTGAACACATATGAAAAGGACAAATCACATTTCAGAACAGAAGGGGAATGGGGGTGGTGAAGTGTCTGTGAGCTAATGGTATTAGAGGTGGGGAAAAGGTAAATGTCTGTGAGCTAATGGCATTAGAGGTGATAATTGGGGAAGCTATCTTTGTAATGGGTAAGATAGTTGGCGCCTTTGTTGAGACCGACACATAGAGTGTCGAATTTTAGAATGAATGACAGTTCAGAGGATTCCCATTCGAGTGCAGATTTAAAATGCTTTTGAAGTAGAATGCAGGTACTTAAGTCATTGAGACAGTGTCCTTTCTGGTTGAAATGGCAAGAAACTGGTTTTTCTTTGTGGTCCTGTCTAATATCTGTTTTGTGTGCATTGATTCTTTGGCGAAGCGTCTGAGACGTTTGTCCAATGTACAAAGCAGACGGACACTGTCGGCACATGATAACATAAATTATATTTCTGGATGCGCAGGAATATGTATTCTTGATCTTATAACTCACTTGGTTAGGTCCAATAATGGTATCAGCAGACTAACACGGCTACATTTCTATCACTTTGCTGGATCAGGACCTTAGTGTCAGTAAGGAATTGTCCTCTCACCGTGGTGTTTTATTCTCCTTCTTCTGGTTCATTGGTTGGAATTTAGAGAGGTAATTGTATTGGGAACCGCTTGTTCTTTTCTCCACTTATTGTTTTTACTTTGTTTCTTCATATCTCTAACGCATTGGAAAGGTAAGATGGCAGTGCTTTCAAATAGAAAAGGTGGGTGAAGTAGTGTCTTTTATTGGTCCAACTTCTGCTGGTGGGAGAGACAAGTTTTCAAGCTTACAGAGAATTCCTCTTCAGGAAGAGTGCTTTTTCAGGGCAAAGGAAGCTGAGCTCTGTATTATGAGGGGAATGAGTAACTTCCCACAAATCCTCTTCTCTGATTGAGTAATGGGGCCTTAGGGGACCCTTCATAAATGCATTTGTGGGACAGGATTTTTCTATATTTTGCTTTCAGAGTGCAAGGAAGTGGGGTGAGGATGCACAATTAAAGGAAATTATCACATGGATGTCTGTAACACACACTAGAGCACTTTCTTGCAGCCCTGGAGCAGGCCTGATGATGGGAGGGAGGCAAAGGGAACAGTTGCTTTGGGGCCTGGCAATTCAAAAGGGCCCTAGGGCTCCTGGTGACCACCACTACTACTGTGGATGGTGGCCAGAGCCACAGGCCCTTTAAATCACTGCTGGAGCCACACATGGCGTGCTCCATGCGGCTCTGAGGGCTGGGGTCACCACAGTCGGGATGGAATGGAGAGCTGACTGCACCCTGGTACCACACCTTCTGGGTGCATGGCGCCACCCCCCCTCCCTTACCCAGGGTCTCGTGAAGACTGTCAGCACCCTTCTGGGAGCATGGCGCCACCCCCCCTCCCTTGCCCAGGGTCTCGTGAAGACTGTCAGCCTCCCTGCACTGGAGGGTCCTGGTACAGCCACCTTTAAAGCTGTGCGATTTCAGTGTCCAGCAAAACTATCTGGTGTAACTACTTATTTTAATTTGTCTCTTTCTGAGCTGTTGCGATTTCAGTGTCCAGCAAAACTATCTGGTGTAACTACTTAATTTGTCTCTTTCTGAGCTGCATACAATTAGGTGTGTCTAGACTACATGGCTCCGTCTACAGAGCCAAGTAGATAAGTTTACTAGACATAGGAAAATGAAGTGGCGATTTAAATAATCGCCACTTCATTTACATCAAAATGGCTGCTGCGCTGTGCCAATCAGCTGTTTGGTGGCACAGCATAGTAGTATGGACGCACCGTGGTCAACAAGGGAAGCTCTTGTCGACTGCTCCGTTATGCCTCGTGAAATGAGGTTTACCAGAGCGGTTGACAAAGGCTTCCCTTTTCGACCGCAGAGCATCCAGACTACTGCGCTGTGCCGCCAAATAGCTGATCGGCACAGCATGGTGGCCATTTTGATATAAATGATACGGCAATTATTTAAATAACCACTTCATTTTCCTATGTCTAGTAAACTCATCTACATGGCTCCGTCGACGGACTCATGTCGTCTAGACATACCCTTTCATTGTAGGGAAGTAAGACATCTGGTGTCACAAGTGCAGGGATACAAGAAACAATTTTTAAAACTCACTAAAACATACCTTAGCTGGTTTGTCTGTACCTCAGTAGCTTGTACATGATGGTGTTGTATAGGAAAAAGACTTTAAGGGCATTGATTTAGGATGGCTTGCATTTAGGGTGTAAGCTCTTGGAGGCAGGAACTGTCTTTTTACTGTCTCTGTATATTGCCTAGAACAATGGAACCCCAATTCTGAGTTGGGTCTTTGCCATGTGTGACTAATTTGACCATCCCAAACTCATGCCCCTTACGCACCTTAGTTTACATTTAGAAACTTAAATATGTGGTCTGGTTTTCAAAAATAAAAAAACACTTAGGGTACGTCTAGACTACCGCGTTTTGTTGACGGAAGTTTTGTCGACAGATACTGTCGACAAAACTTTCGTCGACAAAGAGCGTCCAGACACATAGAGTTCTGTCGACAAAGCAAGCTGCTTTGTCGACAGAACTCCATAGTCTGGACGCAATGTTACAGGCAATAACACCTTCTGTCGACAGAGTTCTGTCGACAGAAGGTGTTATGCCTCGTAAAATGAGGTATACCAGCGTCGACATAGTTTTGTTGACAAAAGTCCACTTTTGTCGACAAAACTAGGTAGTCTAGACACACCCTTACTTAGGTGCCTAGATTTCACTGCTGATATAGGAGACAATGTATATACAAACTCACACACTAAATTGGTATTGATACAGCACAGATCGTATCACATCAATACAATATCAAGAGGTAGAGAGGTAAAATATATTTGCTGTATTGTGTATGTGTGTTTATTCTTTTGCGTGTTTATTCTTTTGTATGTATATTCATATAAAGTATAATTTGAAACAGATAATCCAGGCATAGGGTTTTTTTAAATAGACATTTGAATTAGAGGTAGGTCTGAATGTTACAGGTTAGGTCTGTATCCATATTCCAGTTTTCTCAGTGTTGTCAGTTACTGTCAAGACTCACCTGCACAGTAAAATAGTGTACAGAAACCTAGCGTGTGGTTCTGTGTCACACTAGTAAACTGCTTATGACCTGACAGTGTGAATTCTGCTACCCATGTGAAAAGGTGCACAGTGCATTTTGATGTATTTCTGTTTCAAACAAAAGTATATCAAAGCTCACTATGGGTGCATCTACACTGTACCCTTACCTCAAAATAAGCTATGTAATTTGCATATTTTATTTATTGGTAATGTCCAATAGCTTATAAGCATTTTGCATATCTTATTTTGAGGTAATTTCAAAGTAGCTTATTTTGAAATTTGATGCTGTTTACACAGCAACAAATTTCAAAATATGGCTCTATTCTGAAACGTCCCTTAACCCTCATGGAATGGGGTTTACAGGGATGTTGGAATAGAAAGCTCATTATATTTTAAAATAACTCCAAAATAGCTTTCCATAGATATAGCCTATGGAACCTCTAGGCTACGTCTACACTGGCATGAATTTCCAGAAATGCTTAAAACGGAATAGTTTTCGTTATAAGTATTTCCGGAAAAAGAGCGTCTACATTGGCAGGCTACTTTTCCGGAAAAGCCCTTTTTCCGGAAAAGCTCTGTGGCCAATGTAGACGCGCTTTTTCGGAAAAGAGCCCCGATCGTCATTTTCGCGATCGGGGCTTTTTTCCGGAAAAGACTACTGGGCTGTCTACACTGGCCCTTTTCCGGAACAGTGTTCTGGAATAAGGACTTATGCCCAAGCGGGAGCAGCGTAGCTTTTCCGGAATAGCGGCTGATTTTGTACAGTAGAGCATCGTTGCTTTTCCGGAAATTCAAGGGCCAGTGTAGACAGCTCGCAGCTTATTCCGGAAAAGCGGCTGATTTTCTGGAATAAGTGGCCCAGTGTAGACACAGCCCTAGTGTGTGGCAGGAGGACTCGCACTGCTAGTTAGTATGTGTCAGACTAATGCCACATAATCACACCCTAATGCAGCACAAGTCACCTTATTCACAAGCCTAAACCAGAGTGGAAATACCTCCAGCCATGGGAAAATTTCAAATGTGTGAATTTACACAATATAGTGTTACTGTAACTAAGAACTGCTGTGAAAGAAAACAATTGCTGAACATAAAATGTTTTTTTTCTCTGCAGAAGTATGTATTTTTTATGAACCCTCAGAAAGTAAAGCCACCCGAAGACCTGCAGGATCTGGGTGTGAGATTTCTTCAGCCATTTGTCAATTTGCTGTCAAAGGCAACTTATTGGTGGATGAATCCGCTTATTATATCGGCTCACAAGAAACCGATTGATCTGAAGGCAATTGGGAAGCTGCCAATAGCAATGCGAGCACTTACAAACTATGTTTGTCTGAAAGAAGCATATGAAGAGCAAAAGGTAAGCTGTGGTATCCATGTTACTATCCAATCTATACACTGTTAATATGGTAACTTCACTTCCATTAGGAAACCCTATTTTTAGGCATTTATGACTTAAATGAATTTGTTCCAAGATGAAACTTGGCTTATAATGTTTCAGTTCAAAACTACTGGGTTTTATTAAGTGAATTCTCAGTTTGGGATATTTGCCAGATTGACAGTTTTGGGAACTGAAGTCTGAGTGGACAAATCATTTGCTAGTTTTCATTTTAGAAGTCAGAGATTTCCCTCTAAGTCTTAAGGGTCCATGAAAGTGTTTTAAATTAAGAGACATCCTCCCCAGTTTCAACTAGAAACACCCTTCTTTACCCTTCTTCTGAACTTCTATAGAGTATGACTGTGCTCTGTGAAATAGCTACTGTCCCTTTCATAGAATCATAGTAATTTTTGACTGGAAGAGATCTCAATACGTCATCTAGTCCAGTCCCCTACCCTGAGGCAAGATTGTATATTAACATTTCCATAGAATATGTGCATAATTGAGTGCATTCTTTACCTGCTAAAAAACTATACCTGTGTTATATAAACTGATTTCAGAATCTTTGGGATAAATTCTGGCTTTTCCATGTAAAGATGCACTGAGAGGAAAGTACAAGGGATACTTTGGACCGAAACTCTTTGCCCAGGGTAGCCTCCCAACGCCACATTCCCAAAGTAGCCTCTACCCTGGCTCAGTCCAAGTTGCACATGCACCTTTCTGCTTGCTCCAAGGCCTAAGCATTCTTGCCCACAGATGGGTGTTTCCAGGTGCAGTTAAGACAATTGCGAGCCTCACCAGTTTGTACACATGGGTGCATGCATGTGCATATACAAAGGGGAGAACACACATATCATGTTTTAATCACCTTCCTAAACACACTGGCTGTGTCTACATTGGCATCTCTTTCCGGAAAAGGGATGCTAATGAGACACTTCAGAATTGCAAATCCTCTTCTGCTCTTCTGCTGCTATCCAGCTTGTTCTTGAAATTCCATTCTAAACTGCTGCATTGCATGCCAACTTGTTTACACAGTGGCTGTGTCTACATTGGCATCCCTTTCCGGAAAAGGGATGCTAATGAGACACTTCAGAATTGCAAATCCTCTTCTGCTCTTCTGCTGCTATCCAGCTTGTTCTTGAAATTCCATTCTAAACTGCTGCATTGCATGCCAACTTGTTTACACAGTGGCTGTGTCTACATTGGCATCCCTTTCCGGAAAAGGGATGCTAATGAGACACTTCAGAATTGCAAATCCTCTTCTGCTCTTCTGCTGCTATCCAGCTTGTTCTTGAAATTCCATTCTAAACTGCTGCATTGCATGCCAACTTGTTTACACAGTGGCTGTGTCTACATTGGCATCCCTTTCCGGAAAAGGGAAGTGTCTCATTAGCATCCCTTTTCCGGAAAGGGATGCCAATGTAGACACAGCCACTGTGTAAACAAGTTGGCATGCAATGCAGCAGTTTAGAATGGAATTTCAAGAACAAGCTGGATAGCAGCAGAAGAGCTGCTCTCCCCTGTAGCAGAAATTGCCTTAAGAAAATATGGATGTTTTCCCTGGGGGATATTATTTAGTACCCTAGCTTATATTTACTATATTTAAGACAGCTTTTCTTTACCAATCTGCATGTATTTGATTAATAATGAGCCAGAGAGCCAAATTCTCTGCTTGTATAAATGGATAAAACTGCACTGCGCCAAGGAATGGTGCCTATTTGTATGAGCTGAAAAAGTTGTCCTTTAGTGCAAGACTTTATAATGGGAACAATTGTGCACATACATTTGTGTGTATTGCAAAGTTGCACCTTCAATGTGCCCTGTGATGTCAGTTTGCCTCTTGTATTCTTTGGCCAAATCTGGCTTTAGGAGTTGCTTTACCATCTCATCTGGGCAAACCACCTTCAAGATTATGACCTCTTCTGAGGCCCATGTTCATGTACTAGTGAAACAGAAATATAGAGACCATTAAATCTTCAGACCCAGTTGGGCTCTACAACCCATTTCTCTACCTCACAGGTGACCCTGTGCTTTACTGAGACACCTAGAATCCTGTGCCACACTCTACCCCGCTGACTCAGTCTGGCACAGTTGTCCACGTTCCCAGGGTTTCAAGTAGGCTTTTATTCCTCAGTCTTTGGGCTCACCTGAGAATCAGACTAGCTGCTTCTTTCCCTCTGCATGGTTCTATCAGGCCCCTTTCCAGAGAGAGAACTCACTGCATCCTGTCCCCTAGCCTAGTCCTCATCTGACTTGCACTGTCCCCTTTTAAGTCCGTGCTCTGCCTTCCCCAAATGCAATCAGTGAGGCTACTAGCACTCTTGAGTTCCCTCGATCCTTCTGTGCCTATGCGGCATTTACTCCATGCCATGGTGTGCCAGACTGATGTATGCGTATACTTGATAAGCATTCACAAATAAGTATTTGGATGCTGTGTAGTCACTCACATGCCTTACTGGTTATCTGCACTCACAAGCAGCAGATTCTTGGTACACACTGAATATTTGTATTCGTAAGTTATGGATGCACAAATATATGAATAATACATGAGCTTGATTTTTTTTTTAAAATTACCAACTTCATTTAGCTTTTCCTCCTCTTGTTTTCCAGAATTGTTTAAAGTGTATATACTGCCTTAGATTCAACCGCTGTCATGCTACTATCAGGCTCCATGACTGGTGCTTCTGCACCCTAAAACTAACTGATCCTCCATGGTTAACATTAAATTACACCCAAGTGACGTAATCTGAGAAATAGCTTATGGTGATCCAGTGGCACTTAGTTCAGCTTCTCACCAACAAAGGAAATGTTTTGCTTTTGTGTGGACTTGATTTAGAGAATGGCAGAAGATTTAGGAAACTTCTTCAGGTTAAAATATATCATAGCATGTGATCTAAACAAATATGTTATGTCATTGTTTATGCCAGCATTTTATACTTTACTAGATGCGGTTGGCTGTTAATCTTTCCCAGCTGGTGAGCAGAGTCCCTGAGATATATTGGATTAAGTTGAGCTGCCTCCTTGCTAAAACTGGATATAGCTGAGCTTGTGTGCATTCCAAAACTGTGCTTAATGAAGGAGTCTGTTGTTCCCTGTAGCATTTCATCACACCTTGATGGAAGATACTAAACATAAGGCCAGCAATGTTCCTTGCTGTAAAGTATGTGGCTGTACCTACCCTGGCAAGATTTTGCGCAAAAGTGGCTGCTTTTGCGCAAAATCTTGCCTCCTGTCTACACTGGCCGCGAGTATTTGCACAAGAACACTGACGTTCTAATGTATAAAATCAGTGCTTCTTGCGCAAATACTCTGACACTCCCGCTCAGGGATAAGCCCTCTTGCGCAAGTATTCTTGTGTAAGAGGCCAGTGTAGACAGGCAATGTTAATTTCTTGCACAAGAAAGCCCAATGGCTAAAATGGCCATCGGAGCTTTCTTACGCAAGAGAGCATCTACACTGGCATGGATGCTTTTGCGCAAAAGCACATACCAGTGTAGACGCTCTCTTGTGCAAATACTTTTAATGGAAAAACTTTTCCGTTAAAAGTATTTGCTCAAAACCATGGCAGTGTAGATGCAGCCTGTGTGAATTACACAGCTACCTGAATCTTTATTTCTATTCTTTCAAGACAGGAATTAAAACCAGCCATGACTTACTCTGTCTAAGCACAAAACTAGAGAGCTGATGCAGATTGAGTTTTAAATGCCCATTCCCTGAAAATCTCAGCCTCACAACACATTTCTCAAACATTACAGGAGAAGAGACTTTTGGAGCCTCACTGACCATTAGGTTTTTCCAGTTTTACACTGAACTCCATAGAATTACACCAGTGTAAAACTGCAGTGACACAATGATGACCAGGTCTGTGAACTTCAAGTGGAGTGTTTTCTTATTCCCATTGAGATCAGTGGGCCAATTCTTGAGGTCCTTACTCAATATTTACTCAGATAAAATTCTTATTGAGTCCTGTATTGGGGAATTTTGCCTAATTAAACACCGGAGCAGTTATTCTTTATGAAGAATTTGCATTCACAAACGTAGTCCCTTTTTGCATTCACAAATTAGCCTTATTTTTAATGAATTTATTAACCGCTTGAGACTATTCAATAAATAGTTTGCTCAAACATATTTCTGGCCATGGGAAATTCACCACAGTTGCTATGAGTACTTATTCTTTGTAATTCAATATTTGAGTTGTGTAGCTGGTCACCTAAATCACATAGCATTATTTTTCGTGATTCTAAAATTTCCGAAGTAACTGGATGATATGTTACTAAAAAAGCTAACAATACCAAGTTGTGGCTCTGGCTGCATCCTGTGTGAATACGCAGCAGTTGTCTAAATTCATAAATATTGTGAAGAGGTAGATGCTAATTTTCCTACCAGCCTGTTTGTAAATTCAGTCTTTCAGCGTAGATGATGCACAAATGGGAAGAATTTATTTTTTAATCTACTATGAAAATATGTAAAAAATATTTGTGTGATTCACTATAGAAAAATAGGAATAGTAGGATTCTGCTTTGTAAATGGCTTTGTTCTGTTGATTAAAAGAGTTAATAGAGAATTAGATATTATTATCATTTCATGAAGTTAAATTAAACATTAGACATAGATTATATAAATTAGAACTGGTTGAAATTCAGAATTTCCATTCTAGGAAAAATTCTGACATTTTGGGAAAAATAATTGTTCTGAACCAGAACAAAATTAAAATTTTGAAATTTTCCAATAAATGAAATTTCCAGCTTTTTTGTTTGGTAACTGGAATGTTTAGTGTCAATATTGAATGCTTTATTTTATTATTTTTATTTTTTATTTTTTGTTTTAATTGTATGTGAAATTTGTATATTTTACTAGAAGATTTACCTGACATTGTCCGGGTGCTTGTGGGGGCTCTCAGGACAGAGTATGGTGGGTGCTGGAGTCAGGGCAGGAGGTGGAGGGTACAGGAGTCAGTCCAGGGGATTGGGTTTGGGTGAGTC